TTATGGCTATCCTTAGTTTGCAAATCCCTTGTTCCTACCAAAAAATACAACCCTCCTTTCTCTCTACTAGTGCCAATTGTCATATTCGTTCGATTGTCTTGAAATATACAATTAGTAGGTGAAAAGATGACAGAGCAATCAAATTGCTTTGTAATTTTACTAATAGATAAGAGATTAGTAGAAAATATAGGTGCAAGTAAAACGGATGAGAGAGAGTAAGTAGGTGAAAACAAGACACTTCCGGCCCCAATAATTTTGACAGTAGTCCCATTAGCCATCTGAACAAACTAAACAGGCGAAGTAGTCAAGGAATCAAATGTAGAAGGATTATAGGTAAAATGATCGGTAGCTCCAGAATCTATAACCCAAAAATCAGATACGGTAGAAGTAGATTGCAACCCAAAAGTACATTTCTCGGGAGATGAACGAGCAATATTGGAAACAGTAAGTGTAGGTGCATAAGTAGAAGCAGCAGATGAATGTGTAGCCTGAGAGTATCTTCCACCCTTCCTCTCTGCCCTCTTTGCTAAATACCGGTCTAGATAGCCATTTTTCTTAAAACATTTGTGAACAGTATGCCCTTTAAGGTGACAGAATGAGTAAGTTTCAGTAGACTGAATAAGAGCTCGTGATCGAGGATTGAACCCTTTTGCCGCCAATGCAGACATCTCGGAATGACTTTCAGCCCCCATGGTGAGTTGTCTTTGTTCTTTACGACGAACAATCGAGAACACCTCTTCCAAGCTGGGAAGGGGTGTAGTAGCCAAAATGCGACTACGCACTTGATCCAAATCATGATCAAGTCCCACCAGAAACATATAAATCATGTCTTCAGCACACCTTTGCTTTAATGCCTCAACGTCGACGGCACACTTCATAGGGTTGGGTCTCCGATAGTCAAGCTCCAAAAAAATGGAATTCATTTCAGTGTAGTACGTGCCCAAAGGCCGCCCCTCTTGCCGCAACTGAAAGGATGTCTTCATTAGTTCATAAACTCGTGACTCATTAGAGTTCATTTCAGTGTAGTACGTGACAAGTTGCCGCCCCTCTTGCCGCAACTGAAATGACTTTTTCATTAGTTCATAAACTTGTGACGAATCGGAGACATCAAGATAACTCCTCCTAACGACATCCCAAACATCTTTGGCTGTGTCAAACTGAACAAAGTGGGCCACAAGAGCATCGGTCATAGAATTGATAAGCCAAGACTTAAAATATCATCATCTGCCACCCATTCTTCATAACTACTATCATTTTCTTTAGGTATAGTTAGTTCTCCAAAAATGTGAGCTCTTTTCTTTCGGCCAGTAATATGCATCTCAAGTAATTTTGACCACGCACGATAGTTAGTACTATCTAACTTAATGTAAATAGGAGATGATGTCTCATGAATTAACGATATAACCACCTTGTTATCCGCTATTATTTCGGGTTGTTAATGGATAATGTAATGTACCAAAACACACCACGTCCAGTGGGTATCCAGTAGGACTCAAAAACAAAGAAACAAGTTCTGGTAGAGAACAACACAGAGAGAGTCGGCCTTGGCTTATACTTGGCGCTGCATTGCAGATAGCAAGTCCAATGGGAAATCAAGCAAAGAAGGCAGCTATGAAAGAAGCCAAAAAAAAAAAAAACCGGTGGAGAAGTTGAGCCCAAAGCAGGGGCACTAGAGGTCACGCTCCAAAAATGACAACAATCAGAACCGACAGCAGCAAGGGTGTCGGAAGTATTGGCAGAAAATGGGAAAAAATCCAAGAAATCATTGCAAGAATCGAGGTTACCCAGAATAGCCGTCGCGCGGAGCCACTGTCGAGCGAAGGAGCCAGAATCGGGGTTACCTAGAAGCCGGAATCGGCGCCTGAGCGGCGCCCCGGTGTCTCCGGTTACGCTGGTGTCTGGGTAAACAAGAACGGGTGGGGCTAGGGTTTGGTTCAAACTCGGCTCTGATACCAAGTCGAGAAGTTTGAGAGAAAACTTATTTATTGATTGATATTTTACCAACTATATACAAGGATATAAAAGGAAGTTTACATATTAGTCCCTAGCATTTACAAAGATTACAAGTTGGTATATATTTCAACTCTTTGCAACTATGCAAGCTTGTTTGTATTTCGTCATAATATTTGACCATACACAGAGAATGTCCACTCAAGAAGTCCATGGACCAGGTAAAGAAAATGATGTGTATTTAGGTGACTTTTGAGGATCTAGGTAAAATTAAGCAAGCACTCCATTTTAGGGTTGTATAGTTTGTTGTATTTTAATCCAAAAATATGTCCCAAAACGGTACTTAAAAAAGAGACCTCTATAGCTCATAAATTTGGATATAGCCACGGAAAAAAGGATTTATTGTAAAAGCAAACTTTCGTTATTCACAGATAAGAGCTTTCATTTAATAAAAACCCACAACATTGCAGGACCTGAAGTAGCCCCACAGTTGTGATCAGCTTGAGATTGGTTAAAATCCATAAGCTTCAATAAGTTATGGTCGTCTAACCATTGCATTGTTTTGTTGTTTGTCCCGCATCCCCAAGTATCATTCTGAATCATTTTATCAAGGAAAAAAGACATGATAATGTCTATTTATGCCTCCCGTTTGGCAAATTTATAAATGGTTTATAAAGAGACAATAGTGCTTCCCAAAAAATATGTGGATAATAATAAGCCGTAGTTATGAATGTGTGATTGAAATTAATGTTTGACTTTGGCTAAATTTATAAACCATTCATAAATTGTTATCCAAACGGAGGTTATATTGGAGGTTGAGAAGAAAATGCAGAATTGATCCATGCATTATTAAGGGGTGTAGTCATGTTCATTATTGATTTTATTGTCTGTTGTTTATTAATGGACCTTCCTCACCTTTTCTATGCTCTTAAAGGTCAGAAAGAGAATCATTGTAATGTTTCCCTATTTCTACGCTTCTAATATTTTTACAGTGTAGATTGTTTAATGGTGTTTGTATGGTTTTAGTTATCAACGGAAGTTCTTACTATAAAGTGGGAAATTGTAATCGGTTTGGGTTATCCCGTGTTTTCAATGGCTTTTACATCTGACAAGATGAATACATACTAAGCACTAAGCAGCTTCTGAAAGTAACTTGTTTCAGTGAGAGGTAAACATTAAAAACATCTAGATTTGTACTTACAAGTTACAACCTTTATCTTTTTTTTAATGAATGAGATGTGGAATTGAACCTATCTTTTCTCCAAAGAAAGGGGAAAACTAATGTTATAGTTTGGCTTGAGGAGACTGAGTGCTGTGAAGTTTCATGAAGCTGTTTTGTATGATGTCTGATGCACTTCATTCAGATGTCCAAGGTCAAGTTGAATCAGTTCACTATATTTTTTTACAGTTTTTTCAATTTATACCTTGAAATGCTGCTGACTTGTACATAAAGGATTAATAAGAAGGGTATTGGACTTTACCTGCCTGATCTTAACAACTGTGAGTAAGATCTTGTAGAATAATATTTACACGTCTGTGGTATTGCTAGGAGTTCATAATGATCATTAAGATCCCACTTACGTAGAGAGTATGTTAATTTTTGGCACTATACAATTTGCCATGTGACATTTGATTTCTCAAGTTTAATATATATAACTTAACTTTTTACTACGAGAAGGGAGACTTAAATAAGATTGTAATGCATATCGTAGAAAGGATTGAATGAAAGGATTAGTTGTTGTACGATTATGCGTGTGTAGAATACTGCTAATTACGATTATGCTTTATATTATTGAATGGGTTGTTGATTTTTCTATTTTGTGATTGTGACAAGAAAAAAATTCTCGTGGTTCCTACCTCTGATTTACTGATTTTGTCCTTTCTTGTAATGCTTTGTGATTTGTATTGATCTGAAAATTTCGCATTACACAGTTGGGTTTTGAATCTCATGCTCACATTCTTGGTGCATATTTTCTGTCAATTCTTCATTTTCCTCTTTTGTGTTTGTTTTCTCTTCAGTATTTTAATGTAGTATTCTCGTGGCTTGATTGAAGATATTTTCTGTAGGAATTTAGACGCATAAAAGGAAACATGAACTCAATGAGGGAACATGCGGAGCTACTAAGTTCTGTAAGAGATGATATCAGCGAGTATAAGGTGACAAAATTAGCTCGAACTGTCAGCACAGACAAATATGTTTCCATTGTCTCTTATAGCTATACAATGCATTTATTTTCCATTGTCTCTTATAGCTATATAATGCAGGCATCTGGTAGTATGTCTTCAGGGGCGCAGTTACTACGGGAAAGAGCTGCCATACATGGAAGCATATCTCATGTACGACTTAAATGCTTGTTTGATAGTTGTCTTATTTCTTATACTTTGCAAATGAATATTTACATTATAATCTGGTGAAATTGTGCATGAAAATGAAAGGTAAAAGTAGAAACAAGAACGAATATAATTTCATCGTTACTATCATATCCGAATCTTTGTAAGTCAATAATCAGGTTTCTACCATGGGGTTGACTGCAATGCTTTACATATATATGTTGATAAAAATAAAAAATAAAAAAATCAAGAACTAAGTTGATGAATACTGAATTTATTATTCATTATGTCACATTAAAACTCTTCATATCGTATGGCCAATAACCTATAGTAGATTTATCGAACAAAATGATTGAGCCCCTGATTTATTAACATGAACAATTAGGGTTGAAGAATGTTTACTTCAGCAACATTGATTTTCTGCTCATGATGTTTCTGCGTGGATGCTAGTGTTATATAATCGAGTCTTACTGAAGTAACGATATTTTTTTAAGATTTTATTCACTTATCTATGAAAACTTGAGCTATTAATTTCATTTAAATTAATTTCAAAAAACTACTTGTGATGTTTAGGTTCTTGGTAAGTTTAGCTCATCTATATGTAACAACCTTTCATAATGGTAACATGTGGATATATCATTTGTCCAATTTTTCTCTGTAGATAGATGATGTGATTGGTCAAGCTCAAGCAACTCGGGCTGTGTTGGGCTCCCAACGAGCCTTGTTTGGTGATGTTCAAGGAAAAGTGAAGCTACTTGGTGACAAATTCCCTGTCATTCGTGGTCTAATTGGTAACTTCCTGAGGAGAGTTCTACTGTTAATTTTCTTCATTCAAGTCACTTCCTAATTGTTTTTTTTTTTTGGGATCCTCACAGGTTCAATCAGGAGAAAGCGATCAAGAGACACTCTCATCCTATCTGCAGTTATTGCTGCTTGTACGCTCTTTCTTATTATCTATTGGCTTTCAAAATAAACAGAGACCCAATCTGTTGCCATTACTATCTATTAAAAATAGGAATTTCTGACGAATTTTGAATGCGTAGTTTGTAAGAACAAAATCTACTTTATTGAAAAGGTCTTGGTTTCTTCTATGTACCTTTCGTTTTGCTTATAGCACCCTCATGTACCTTTCATTTAGGCCGCCAAGGTCCATGTGGCTGGCATATTGAGGGCTCGGCTCGAGCCATGGTTTTCAGATTTATTTATTTATTATTATTTTTTTTCAAGAATTGAAGAAGTGTTGGGCATGAGGGCTTGTCTCGCATGGCATTGAAGTGTTGAGTTTCACCTTTTCTGCACGTTTCTGCAACAATGGCTTGACTTGCTGTGACTATCGAGTTGAGATATAATGTCTTGGTCTTATATCTCTTTAGTACATTTTTAAGACATGGACCCTTCATCTCTTCTTGGTGAATGGAAAGACGTCAATATATGTGTCAGAACTATATTGAAAGGATAGCGAAGCTTGAAACAAAAGATCTACGGTCGTGACTCCCAGCTAGCGGATTAATTTCTTTGGTGCTAGTTGGGGGGTAGGGGCAGGGACGGACCCAGCCTCAGAGTTGAGCCCGGGCGGACGTTGACCGGTCAACGTCGAAGTTCAGCAAGTGTGCAACAAATAAATCAGCAATGCTTAGGCTTAGCAATGCTTTAATTCAAGCATGAAGCAACACATACATTAATAGATCAACCACAAGAACAACAATGTGAGAATGTCTACTTTAAAATACTCAAACCAGAAATGAACACATTAAACTTCAAAGCCCTCATATTCAACTCGGTAAAGGGGCAAACAGTCCAAGAGTAAGAACAAATTCATTAAAAACATGATTAAAAATAAGAGAGAGAAAAACGTATTTTGAAAATAATGGGGGACCAAGCAAGGGCTTTATATAAATTCATTATAAAAAAATTTGTTATACACAAGATTTATATCTTTCGGGATTCCAAATTCTAATAACCAACGATCTTATCATATATTTGACATGATGATGTTTAAATGCTTAAAAGATTTTGGTATTACAACCTAGGAGTACAAATCTAAAAGACACCTTCACTATCATAAGCAAGAAACACCAGCAAAATCATGGATGCAAATTCAAAAGTTGAATAGCACTCAAAATCCTAAAATTTAGACCATGAAAATCAGATTAAGCATGTAGAAAACAATAGAAAATATGCATTTCTATGAAACAAATGAGCATGACATTAAGGAACTCTGAACACTTCATGGACCGTAATTAGAACCTCATAATTCATAAATTATTAGTAGAATATCATGCAAAGGGATAAAATGTACAAAGCCAATTAGGTATCTGTTTTTTGATATGAAATACAAGTGAAAAATCAAAATGACCCCATAAGTTTTAGAACATACAAAAAGGTACAATGAATGCAATAAATTATATAAGATAAAATCACTAGTATTTTCGATAACAAACAATCTGAATTAGCTGCAGGGCCGTACCTGTGTTTCGCGGGGCCTGAGGCGAACTTCAAAATTTGGGCCCCTAAATCATAACAAACAATCCACTTTTTCTTTTAAAAGAGTCTTACGAAACTAAATTTGTTAACTTAAATTCAACAATAAAACAACAAATAAAAATAAAGTATTCAAAATATTTATTTTGCAATCAAATAATAATACGAAAATGTTCTAACCGATCCCTACAACACAGAGTAAGTCTTAATGCAGGGATAAGGTCCAGTATCACTGATTAATGTTGTTTCTAGTGAGTAGAGACTACTGCAGAAAATGGTTTTAGTGCCTTGAAAGATAGAAAAGATGAACTTATTGTTGGTTCATGTCAAGTAGATTTCTCCTGTGACCAAGCATCACCAATGGTTGATGTTAATTTTCCACCACCTCCACCATTAGGTGAGTGTTAGATTCAAAAGTTTAGGTTCTCCAACACTAACATTAATTACTTACAAGTGAAGAAAAGAACAAGATGATTAGATGCAAACCTAACAGATTTCAAAGTTGCTTTTTGGTTCTTTGATAATGCAGATATGCTCTAGTGCAAATTTTGATAGAAATAGCATCATTCAATCACTTGAAATAACAGAACTGACATATGTATCACAATTCACAATTCTGGACGACTGGACATTCGATAGCTAGTAGACATTCCATTCTAATATTTGGTAAACTCAACAAATTAGTTCAGGTATTGAGGTTTCACACAAAGGGTTATTTCAAATAAGAGGATCTATGTGCTGCAGGCAGCATGTTCCTCAATCCTCAGTCCTTACTTCCATAAAAAATGCTCAATAGAGGATTTACTGTGGATCACTCGCAACATTATTTTAGAATTTTCTGAAATTCTTAAAACACTTGCAATTTCTTCATCAACATAAGCACATCAAATCATCAAAAAGTAGAGAACAGTTTTTACCACAACCACTTCGGCTCTTCCGAACAACAATGTCATATAAAATTTTGAATTGAATTGAACCTTACAGGTAATTATAACAGACAGCGAGGCGGTTCAATGGTTCATTCTCCCAAGGTAATCATAGGCTAGTGCAAGAAGATCTGGAAAATAAATCAACCAAATATCAGATTAAATGTATTTTGAACAGAAAATTAAATATCAGATCTCAAACCCAATTTCCCTTCTTTTACAATCACTTTCTGACCAATTGTCTACCATTTCCTAGTGTAAATGGAGATAAACAAACACCCAAGAAGTGAAATTTTTTACTGACACGATAATGGCTTCCTCCAAGTTGATTATTTGTGTCCTCTTTCTTGCCGCAATAGGTTCTTCATTGGTGGGAGTAGATGCAAAAGTTCCAAAATGCAAAGATGCAGACTGCATTCTATCTTGTAAAAAATTCTGGAGTCAGGATTGTTTTTGTTCCTGTAATGACGACGACGTTCTCATCTGTGGCCGGAAACCACCGAAACCACCCATTTTTCATCATCCACCTCGGGCCATTGATAATAGAGAAAGAGCTTAGTCTTCCTATTGATTTCGTGCACTGTGAACTTGTGAGAAAATATTGCCAATGGTTTGACAAGAATTAATGATTAGTATGCAATAATCCAACTTAAATGTTGAAAAAATAAATTAGTTACGATTGATGAAATGAAAGTTCCAAGTTT